AGCGTGATCGAATCCGCCAGGCTAATCCAGGGGATCCCCGTATAAGAGATCTCAATAGGGACATTAGAAACCTGGTCAACGAACACAAGCGGAACAAATGGAATGAGCATTTAAAATCCTGCAACCTCTCAAGCGGAGCCAGCAAACTGTGGTCCACAGTCAAGTCCCTCTCCAATCCGACGAAGCGTAGAGACAATGTCGCTCTCACCTTCGGCACCACTACCACGTCGGATGCGCGGTCGTGCGCGCGCTTCTTCAGCCGGCAATTCATTGCACACCCAGAGAGAGACAAAACCCGCCGCAGCGTGCTACGTAAAGCACACAAACTCCGCCCCCGAGACACACCACTGTGCTTCACCACTGAACAGACGCAGGCAGCTGTCAACCACGCCAAGTCATCGAAGGCGTTAGGCCCAGACGGAATTTCCATGCAGATGCTGAAAAAGCTAGGACCTGCGGGAGTCGAGTATATGACCGCCGCTTTCAACTTGTCACTGTCCACCCTGATCATCCCTGAGATGTGGAAAATGGGTAGGATCATTCCCCTCCTTAAGCCAGGGAAGAAGGCGGACGCAGGAGACTCGTACAGACCCATCTCCCTCCTATCCCCAGTGGCAAAAACCATGGAAGCACTACTCCTCCCCAGCCTGACGAAGCATCTGAAGCTAGCCGAACACCAACATGGATTCCGGAAAATGCACAGCACGACAACAGCATTAAACACCATTACCACACAGATTAGCGAGGGTCTGAACCAACGTCGACCCTGTGATAGGACAGTCCTAGTCGCTGTGGACCTGTCGAAGGCTTTCGACACGGTGAACCACGCGACCCTCTGCCAAGACATCCTGGACTTGTCGCTTCCAGCTCGGACGAAACGGTGGATAACCAGCTATCTGTGTGGTCGTCAGTCATCGGTCGAATTCCGAAACGCCAAGTCTAAGCCGCGTAGAATTAAAACTGTTTAATCTTTACATGGCCAAACTCCCTCCGCCGCCAGCAGGAGTAAACTTGGTAAGCTACGCCGATGACTGCACAATAATGGCAACTGGCCCCAACATAGACAGACTTTGCGAACAAATAACCGACTATCTCACCGATCTTTCCAACTTCTTTACCGCAAGGAACCTCCAAATCTCCGCCGCAAAATCCAGCGCCACACTTTTTACAACCTGGACCAAGGAGGTGGGGCTAGAACTGGACGTCTTCGTCGATGGCGCCAAAATACCGACGACCAACCACCCTAAAATCCTAGGAGTGACGTTCGATAGCCTCTTCTCCTTCTCCGCGCACGCCACAGCCACATGCAACAAACTGCGAGCCAGGAACAAAGTCCTAAAATCGCTAGCCGGCAGCACCTGGGGAGCCAATAAAGAAACCCTGCTCGCGACCTACAAGGCAATCGGCCGGTCAGTGGCTAACTATGCGGCACCAGTGTGGACGGCGGGGACAAGCGACACCCGATGGAGGAACCTCCAAACCTGCCAGAATGCAGCTCTACGTACGGCTACAGGTTGTCATCTCATGTCGTCCGACCATCACCTACATGAAGAAAGCCAGATGCTGGCGGTGAAAGAGCACAACACCATGCTGTCGAAGCAATACCTCGTGGGCTGTCACCGAGGGAATCACCCCAACAATGCCTTGCTTCGTAACGAACCGCCCCCACGACACGTGAGACGACACCTGCATGACTGGAAAGCGGACATTGAGCCGTACGTAGACCGTCCATTCGACGCAGCAACATACAGAGCGGCGCTCAACAGCCTACACAGCGATGCGGTCAGAACGAGCCTCAGTACGCGTAATGACAACATCGTTTTGGGCGGTCGACCGCCGCCCATAGACCCAGAAGAAATAGAGCTGCCGAGAGAGACCAGGTGCACCCTAGCACAACTCCGTTCTGGGTGGTGTCACCGACTCAACAGCTACCTCTCTCGGCTGAACGCACAAGTGGCAAACACATGCCCTGCATGTGGGCAAGGTCCTCACGACACCCAGCACCTCTTCACGTGCACCTCCAACCCTACGACCCTGACACCAGAAGCGCTCTGGACCGCACCTATCGACGCAGCCCGCTTTCTCGGCCTCAGGCTCACAGAGTCGGAGGATGAAGACGATGACACATGACAGATCTGGGGGGTTGAGCACTGCTGCTACAACAACAACAACATAAACAGTGCACTCCAACTCTGGTACGCAGGAAGTATATAAAATAAATTCAATATTAAAATTAGATAATTCATAACCACATAAACTATTTTTGTTTTTGTATATTTAATGTAAATGTAAACTTCAATAAATTCAATTCATTTTAATTTACAAGTTTGCTAAAATTCTATGCATATATTTTTGTATACGTACATATACATATAAACCATTGTTATAATCAATACTTTTGAAATATGTGGTATAATTGAAAACAGCGCTAATTATCGTATTCACTAAATCATTTTGCGAACAAAAAATTCATTTCAGAACGAATATACATACATATGCGCACATACATTATTGGAATAATACGAATACGATTGTGTGCATGTATTAATACATGGTTTATATTTTACCAAGCTCATATGTGAAGTTTAGGCCGCCTTACCCAGGGGAATGGGATTCTGTTTCAAATGTAGGTATATAGACCGCATGCGTGAGATATCCTTGCCTGATTTGTTCACTTTTGGGTTGAAATCGCATAATTTTGCAATGCGCTCCCACTCGGTTCCCGGTTCCATGGGTCCACCATTTTCAAGCGCCGCTGCCTGCTTTTCAGCGTTGCGTGAGGCCGCTTTGGTTTTAGCGATAGATTCTTCTGTTTGACGCAACCAATCTTCCAATTCCTGCTTCGCCTGCAGACGCAACTCTTCTTTCTTACGTTCTTCTTCCCTATCTTTTTCTTCGAGACGTTGTTTTTGTTCCTCTCGCCATTTTCTTATTTTTTCAGGTTCAACCCGAGAAGGTGGTGGTCCCGATATACCGACTGGTTCATTTGATTCACCACCAATCATTTCAAAGCTACCGGTAGATGAACCAAGTCCGCCGCCAACCGCATTAGGGGCTAGTTCATCGCTGCCAAGTAGTCCATTGCCACCATCTGTGCTGGCCGGTGCACTGGGAGCAGTATTTGATGGAGGTACGATTTCCGATTCGAGGTCACCGAGAACAGATTGTTCACGTGCCAGAAACTCGGCTGCGGGATCAACTTCCTCTTT